CTGTTGACGGACGTTTCCGGTCAACGGTTAAAAAGGTAAATAATAGAAAAGGAGATAATGGGGAGACAAGAAAATACGGTTTAATTGCAGTTTATTGGTTGATCGCTAGGTCGGCCTCTCGCGCGAGGTCGGCACTTGCAATATCTTTACAAATCGTTACAGAGTAATTACGCGATTTTTAGAGGGAGAAAGTAGAGAGATAGCTATTACAGTTGAGTTTCAACAACCCAAAATAAATGAGAAGGGTTGCTATTTATAGTAGCCTTTAATGTGGCACTGTTCAGGTACTGTTCATCAGTCTTGTCATACAGTGTTCTTGCGGGACAATCCGGCGCTTCTCTGACAGCATTAAATGTGACTTGAGGTCTTCCTCATCATTAGGTGGCAGGCATTTAATGCTGACAGGCTTTATGCCTTAGCTAAGAGGGGTAGGTCTGCAGGCTATGATGTCCCATCCATTTAGCCAATGATTCCCCTCCAAGTGGCATTATTATACCATTATAGAGACCGGCATTCTCCGTCGTAGAGACCCGCTCTGGGACCCCAAGTCGGCGCCTCGGCATCTTACCTTCATCTGTTCCCCTGGTCCTGGGGAATCTTTCTTTCAGTCCGTTATTTTTCAGCCCGGCACCCGTGGGGTCGTAATTGAAAATACCGAACTGACGAATGGTCTCACGGCGATGCCAGGGTCAAAAGGTTTTCCGGTCCAGCTCGGCACTTTGTGGGCGGACCGGGTCTCTGGTTCGGCTCTCGGAATTGCGTGGTCCGGTTCAGTCTTATGGGCGAACCCGGATGTCAACACTATATATGAGGTACAATATAGTAGTTGCCTTTCTATTTTTTTTATCTACAAAAACGAAAATAATAACATAAAAACAGCCATTTTAAATTTATAAATTTTATTTGAGACAGCGTAACTGTTAGACAAACTGATTTGATTTTTTTTCTCAAAAAATGCATAATTATAGTGTGAATGTTGCACTTTAGAGCCTGACATTTCATTTTAACTAAATGTGTTCTTATTGAAAAAAATAATGATTGTTTGACGATTAAATCGGCTTAAAGATAATATTACTGTTTTTGTTTTGGAGAATTGCCCTTCTACTAAAATACAAAATATGTGACAAAAAGAATAACTTATGTACTCGAGCCAATCGAAAGAAATAGTGTTAAAAATAATAAATATGTGCCGAATTTTTATAACACAATTACATTTTATCCAATTAAATTCTATCTACAAAAAAGTAGTACTCTAATCTTTTAGACCACACAAGGATAAGTGGATAAGCACTTAACGAGCATTATCCTTAATTTTGTCCAAACTCATTATATTTAGGGATTCTTTTCAGGTTTGCTTTTAAAAGTATCATTTGTTTCCACTTATGTATAATTAATTGGATGACCGAAGATTAGGTTTCAGTTATTTAACCAAATTCTTGATTGATTAAAACTCATAAAAACCCTTTATTTTGTTGAATATAACAAACAATGCGAATTGTTTATTCTGCTAAAGCATATAAGACAAATTATGCGAGGTTTGTGAATGCATCCACGATCTGCTTAAATTCTTGTGGGTCAGTCTAACCGTTAAAGCGGGTCGACCCGTTCTGCTTTTCAAACGAAAATGCAAACTAATACTATCAGCATGTGTCATACTTTAGTTATGATATTTTTTATAATATGATATTTATGAAAATTGTATGTTGAAACTAATGGTTAGGCCAATTGAACAATGAACTACTCATCGCTTGATGGGGCATCTTAGGAGTGTCAATCGCTTGTTGTTTATCAATTTATTCAATATGAGTTGCGTTTGATGAGTGTTCGGTTTATTTTTGAAATGTGGTTTGTAAGTGTCGGATGATTAAAGATGAATGTATCTTTATTCATAATCTAATTTTTGAACAGTAGTCTCACCAGTACTAAATAATTAAATTAGGATAATAAACGACTAAGATTTCTAAAATATTTGGGAGTATATGGATGATAATTGATTTTATTTGAACATTATTTTTGAGATGACTTTTGTAAGAGATACATATTCACTTATAAGGGATACATATTTTTTATTTTAATTGATTTAATCCCTTATAAGGGATACATATTCACTTTCTAAACAATATCTCTTGCAATTTGATCGAGGACGATTCGAGGCAATATGGTTCGACTCTTTACATCTACTTTTTTTTTATTATTTTGATAAGAAAATATTTTAGTGAATAATCAAAAAGGTCCCAATCTTGAAATTCGATGCCTGCAATTCTTTCAATTATAGGTGATGAGAAATTCAGACAAAGCCCAGCAAAAAAGATAGTAATAATAATTATAATAATAATAATAATAATAATTTCTATAAAGTTTTATTGGAACAGAATGTTTTTAAAATTATATATGAAATGTCACATGATGAAGTCTTTTATGGTTGAGACATTAAATTATGAAGGAATTGAGGCATGATTTGTGGAACCCCACCTTACTATATGGGACAGAGTGACATGATAGATATGACATTGTAGAAATCTATCAAGAGAAAAAAAATTGGTTGTGAATATCTCAAATTATTTTAATTTAATAAGGGATATATATATAAAAAAGGTATTTGATGGAGTGCAGGACTTGTATATCCTGAAATGATCTTTGTTCATATATAAACTTTCCCAATGTTGTGATAATTGAATGGCTTTGGAGTTAGAATTCATGAACCATAAGTTGGGTAAAAATTCAATGTATGCGATGATAAATATTGTAAGAATCCTTTATGTAAATTTTGCTTTAGGACCAAAAAATGAACCAGGCCAAATGTGAACATGTGTTACTCTGTAGACCAAGATTAGTACTCAAATAACCTCATAAAGATGATATTTACTGATAAAACTATGTATATTTATAACTTCTAATTGTTAAGTCGGCCTAACAGTAAATCTATGGACAAACGTGTATTTTTTATTAAAAAAAAATGTACGATTGTCTAACGACTAGTTGACTACCACCTAGCACCAACATCTGTGTGATAATAATAATAATAATAATAATAATAATAATAATAATAATAGAAAAAAAAAATTCATAACAAGTTTCAAATGTCTTGAGTCTCTAAGAAGATTAATTAGTACAAATTTGAAAAGAATTGGATTAGATATCCAAATTGTTCAAGACCATATGAGATACCGCATATTGGATAATAAACCACAATCACCCCATGTGGCTATAATAACTCTTTAACTAGCAAACCACATGACCCTTTGATACAAACAACAAATCACTCGTCCATTTGTTTGATAATGACGGATGACACTGTAATTTGAGAACATCTCATTTATTTTTTATTTTTTTGGATTGGGAGTTTATCTCTTACGGAAATTGAGAGTAGACATAAAGAAAGTTTGAAGGCATTGCGGCTATAAATGAATTGCATTATAAGTTGTAATTAAAATGCTTCCTTCTTTTTTTCCAATGAGTTTATGGTTAATAAGACCAATGGTTATGATAAACATATTTTTTCAACAACAATTATGCATACTTTTAAATTGAAATGCCACTCTCTAGAAAATAAATATAACATATTTATTAAAAATATATATTTTTTTTTAATCGAATTGTTGTTTGACATCATTTAGACATTTACGACTTTGTTCCAACTTTATCTCTTTAAAGAAATCGAAATCAAACTTTAATAGTAGGATGGTTATGAAATGAGTGGAGACATATAAATTTGAAAATTTTACAACTGTTTTAATAATGAAATACCTGTCCAGATCCTTTTATTCCTAAATTCTTAGCGTAAAACCCAAAAAAGAAATAAAGAAACGTGGGATTCATGCTTTGTTTACGCAAAAATTGTTGTCAGGACATTTAACTGTTAGAATAATATAACATGTTACCTTTTTAAACGATTTTTTGTTGTGAGGTCATATAATTCTTAGAATAATCAACATGTTACCTTCTTTAAACGAATTCATATTTGAGATATCACATTTCAGAACGTGTTATGTATTCCTGCACAATTACAAGTAATAAGAACATTACATTAGAATGAAGCACTTTTGCTGGAATATATTCGCCTTAATTAAAAAACTACCAAAACACCCTAAATGTTGGTTAACATTTGACAGCATATTCGTATCATCAGGAAAGTTCTAATTAGAATTTGTTATTTTCTTTAAACAAAATCTAATTTTCTTATTAGAAACTGTCACCATCCAGGTACTTCCATGGAAAATTTCTGGGAGTCATTAAAGTGAAAAAAAAAAAAAAATGTTTTTGCTTTAACAGTCCACCAAGATCAAGAAGAAAAGCTATAAAAATCGACAGAAACAACTCGCCAAACACAAACACTCTTCAAATTGAAACAATGAAATCGCAGAGATTTTGAAGATCTTAACAAGAAAAGCAGCACACATTATAACACGAACTAAACCACTAGAAAACAAGCGCCAAAAGAAACAAGAAACAAACAACCGAGCAATGAAGTCCATAAAAACGAAGCTTTGTTCAACTGCAACCGAATAACAATCTTGATTAATCGAAAAGGCTAAAACCCATATCATCATCCGACTCCTCAGCAGGCTCCTCTTTCTTCTCCTCCTCCTTGGCGGCACCACCACTAGCAAGGGCGGCACCACCATCAGCCAACACAACAGGTGTCGACACCACAGCAACCTTGCTTGGATCCTACATTCCATACATAAATCAAAATATTAATCAATAAATCAGACAAAACAAACAGAAGCCAAAAAAACAAAGAAAAAAGAAAAAGAAAAACATACTGCAAGATATTCTTTGACTTTTTCAGCCTGTGGGAAAGAATAATCGGTGGCCACAGCAAAAGCCAACACATTCTTATAAGCATTGATAAACATGTGAGGAGCTGCAGCAAGTGTAGGATAAGAGATGGCGAGTGAAAGTGAGGTGACCATTGTGACACCCAAAGCAAATTTCTCAATAAGATCATCTTCAGTCAAGTCGAGAACTTCTGGGCTGAACACAGACCCATTGTCATAAACAGAGATGACAACAAGTCCGTATGAGAAGGGCCTGATACCGAGCTTGGCAAGGAGGGCAGCTTCAGAGGAGCCCACCTTTTCGCCTTTCTTGATGAGCTCGACTGGGGTTATGATTTCGACTGTACCCTTGTTAATCTTGGTTGGGATGTTGAGGACCTGTGGATGTATGGGTTTTATTAGAACAATGAATACAATAGATTGAGAAAACGAAAAAAGGAGAAGAAAAAGGAAGTTTGTGATGGGGTGTTGCCAGGTGGCACGACGACATCAATTGGAGCAACCAATCCGACACGAGCTGGTGCTCCAACCTGTTAAACAACATCGGAAAAACGAAACAAGGTAAGTGATATGCAATGCGAGTATTAAAATAACAAGTGCAATTCAAAAAAGAGAAGACAAGATTGTTCACTGATTTATGATCATGCTGCCCAGCCTTGTATATTTGGAGTTTCAATTTTCAGAAAACAATTATGCAAAACATATTCCACATAGACTGCTACATTGAACGAAACTGCAACTATCTTCGAATAAAACTGAATTTTTGGCAGTAAAATTCAAATACACAAAAGACAATCTCGAGGAACAGTTTTCACGTATAATGAATTTAAATCAGAATCAAGGAGCTGCATTTACTTAGATTCAAGTACATGCAATCAGTGAAATTCAAGGGTGAACTTCACACCACACATTTTTACCCACACCCATAGGGATTGGATTGGAGGTGTGTATACAAATGTGAGATGAAAAACTCCTTAGGGAAAATGCCCAAATAGGAGTTTAAACCTTCGGAACTTGGAGTCAGAATTTACCATTTCACAGTTGCAGAGTCTAAGAACAGTAAACCTCGCCGAGCTAAAGACAAACAATATTTGTAAATTCCTACTATTCCACCATCTCAACACAGCTTGTTCATCCACATAATGAAAAAGTGACATCGGCATCAGAGCTATAAAATGTTGAAATTGTAAAAATCACAAACAAGAGATACTTTACACGGAACTGATACCAACAGGAAGGCACAAATGTGTAATTCTATCCTATTATTCAGAAACTTTTAATTAGCTACATCACAGCTGAATAGGCCCTTTAGACTTCAACAAAAACCCTTTATATTTCAACAAGAGCTATATAGGATAACCAACTCACCTTGTACTTGGCAACTTCCTCACTGACTTCCTTGAGATCACCCTTGGTGAAGATCAGCCCGAACAGAGTCCAACCACAAAAGTTCAAATCAGTGGCGTAGCAAGGATTTAAATTTATCGGTGCTGACTAATACACTTAGTTGGTATTGTTACTATCGTAGCATTAATACATCATATGTTTTTCATGAAAATTATTCCAACTATTTTTTTTTTTTTTTCAAAACGTCCTCTAATTATTAATTAATTTATATATTTGGTGTAGTTTATCTTAAAAAGACAACACAAGTTTCGGTCTATAAAAGATCGACATGTTTTTTAAATAGAATAGCTTATGGATATATACGTACTTTTCGGATTTTAAAGATTTTTTTATTATTTAAAAAAAAAAATTGTATCTAGGTTTTGTATGATTTTTAAAATTTTTAGATATTTAATTGATATTTTGAAAATTCTTAAGAGTCGTGTTTAATTTATTTAACACTAAAATTCATTAATTTATTTAACACTGAAATTCATTAGAACTGTTTATGATTTGGTTAGAATACAAACACAAATTATATATGTCAAATCTTAATACCAAATTCCACATTTGAACTTTAGATTTATAATAAGGATTTCACTAAGTTAACAATTTTTTAAAAGTTTCGAATTTAAAAAAGACTTAAAATAGCACTCAGAATCTCAAATAAATAAATGGTAATTACATTTTTTATCTTATTCAATATGTATGCTTGTTTGATAAGGAATTGTAAAATAAATATAATATTAATAAATTAAAATGAAGTTTAGTAAAAATACTTTAAAAGTTTACCTTCGATAATATTGATTTTATCAAGAATGTTTTGTGGGATATACGAATTTATATATTTACTATTTTATTACTCCAACAATTATAATTACCAATTATAACGAATCACATTATTTTATTTCAAATCAACTTTCAAAAGGACAAATAAATTTGAAGATTATATTTTCATATCAAATATATTCATAACATTTATTATTATTATTATTATTATTATTATTATTATTATTATTATTAATTAATTAATAAATAAATAAAAGTACCATAGTTGTTATTTCTCCAAAAAAGAAGTTGTAAATAAATGTTGTTTGATTTGAAGCTCCTAAATATTTATATTACCGGTTAAAAGTGATTAGATTTTACTTTCTTATTGTCGTCAATGAAAATAACATTAAAAAATTTGTTAATAAAGTAAAATCTTGTAATTGATATTAAAAAGATGGGCTAATGGTTAAGAGAAATATTCAATTTTAATTATGCTAAGTCAAAACAAAAAAAAAAATATTAATATAGTCAAAACAAAAAAAAAAAATATTAATATACTACTACATTGTTTTAATTTTTTAGCCTATAGCCCACCCAAACAAGAATGTAGCTACGCCCCTGTCTATGGATTATAGCCTCCTCTGCCTGTTTCTGAGGAAACATTTTCTTTCAAACTAAAATCTGCAACTCAGAAAAAGGAACGAACTTTTTGGCAAATGAACAAAGTTCTACTAAAGCAAAGTCTAGTTTAATTGCAAACTTGCAATTTGTATTGTAAAGGCATGTCTGTATACAAATATATGCACTCATATTGAGGTTTTTTGTTAATCATTGTTAACTTAAAAAAAAAATGGTATTGTTAGTTGTTAGTGAGTGTCATGTACTCGATACATGAAGACTTGGGCTTGGATATAGATTCGAGGTATGAGGTATGGATGTCTACTTGAGAAAGAAGGAAAGTGTCGGCCAATTGAGAGGGTTTATTTTTTTTACTCTTTTTTCTTTCATTGTTGCCAGTCGAGTGATCCAGCTGACCAAGGTGCTTGGAAATATAAAGGCTCGGGCCAACTTAGTATAAAGTGCAAGGAAGGCATCAGTAAGGGCACAAAGGAATTCAAACCAACATTAGTTATACTCAATGATGTAGGTTCCACTCTCATATTTTGTAATTTTTTTGTTTAATTACTTATCTATTTGTCACCCTTATTTATTTAATTATCAATCTTGTCATTTTTCGTGGAGTTAATAGAATACGATTCCGAAACTTGTATCCCAATTTTTCTGGAGAATATGTACGGAAACGTCAACCATTCTGTATAAAAAATTGCACCTGGAATACTTAGGCTCGTACGACCAGCATAATAGACCGGTTTATTCCTTAGGTATATAATATCCCATATCAATATCATCAATATCTATATAATAAGAATAAAAATTTACTAAAAATAGTAGTACAAATTTTTTGGAGCATTTAATGTCTACCTTTTATTGGAAACTTTTTAAATATATGTATTAATTACTTACATATACACGTTTTCAAATAAGATCGAATCAGATATGATAAAAAATATTGTTTCCTTAAATAACTTTATTAATATCTGCATTAATTTCATTGATATCCATTATAATAAATTACAAGATTGATTTGTCGTGATTCATGCTGATAATATTTTGGTCAAGATAAATATTACAAAATATTTTAAGTTCTAACCATAATATTATTATTTTTTCACAAATATTCACTCTTATTCAACAATATTGGTAGAAAATCATAACATGTTAGGTGGAGTTTTTCTTCCAATTAATCATACGAAATCACGTTGGTGAATTAATCTTTATAAATGTATTTTTTTCTTAAGCTTTAGATCATCATATATATATATATATATATATAATTCTTCAAATTAATATAATTTACCATTTAAGAGATAATGATCAGATACATTAAATAGTTTTATTAATGGTAAAAATAATATTGAAATATATTAACTGCTTTTCAGAATTTTTTTGTATATTATTGGCAACCATTATAATTTATTTTAATCATTTTTTTATTTTGATTTATTTCTGTAATGAAATTATTGTAAAATATAATTTCATTGCAGAGTATGCTAAATAAACTATAAATCTTTATAATGCGAATTAGAAAAATCTTGGTTATAGAAGGGATTGAATTTTTGGCATTTTCTAAATCAAAGTTGTTTAATTAGTATACAAAATTAAATTTTAAAAAAATGTGTATATATTTTGTAAATTATTGATACATTATTTAATTTTAAATTTATTTACATATTTTAAATTTATTATATAAATAAATAATACTAACGTGCATTAAATATTTTCATTACATAAAATAAAAAAAAAAAGATGTAGAACTTTTATAAATAATAATGATATTATATGACAATAAAGTTTATAATAAATAATAATTAAATATTATATGGTGAACAAGATAAAGTAAAACAGTTATTTTACAAGCTAGCCCTAATATGCTCATATTTAATGTTATGGTTAAAAAAAAATGCAGATTGAAAAAAGTAGAAAATAAATTATAACCATGTTTTCTAGAATTAACGTTGATTAAAAGAGGTGGAAAATAAATTATAACCATATTGCTTTTTAGACTTAAAAGGACAAAGTATGTGAAAATAATTTATTGAGCATCTCTGTTTCGTGCATCGCGGGGTACGTACTAGTTATAATACTAACAAGACTATATAATATATATTATATATTAGGAAAATGCTAATGTAACCACTATAGTGTAAACTTCCAATAAAAAAACTACTTTGACTATATCTAATGGTCTTATATCAAAACCAAAAGATTTAATGGCTTGTATTGAACTGTCAACCGACTTAGGGAGTGATTGTTTATGGATTCAACTATTTTTTATTTTGTTTGTTTTTTAACTATAATTATTTTTTTAAAAAATAGTATAATTAATTGTTAGTGGATATATTAAAATAATATTTAAATAAAATAATTAAAATTGATTTGAAAAAAAAAATGATTAGAAGTGATGGTTAGTTAAAATTATGTGAGTGGAGGAATGATGAATTAGAGTTGATGTGATATGTTAGAAAGATTAGATGAATTAATTGGTTTTCTGTTTTAGTTAAAATCATAAACAATCACACCCTTAGCCTTTCCCTATATCGTATATATTCACTTGACATGTATTGAGTTGGATTGTATAGTTAGATTCATTGTAAAAGTAAGACGTAGAGAGCCAAACACATCGGGGTAACAATGAAGATGGTGACGGACCCGACTCTCGACGACGACAGGTGGGGATTGTTTGTACCGTACAAGCGCAAGTTTTGGTTCGAAAAGAACGATTATGACGTCCCTGAATCCTATTTCTACCAGAACGGCGAGGAGATTCAGCCCAATACCATCGAGCTGGTCAAGAGATTCCTCAAACAAGTCCGCGAATCCAGGGTATCTATCCCTAAAATCCTTCATCTCGTTCTCTGTCCCCATACTGATTCTTCCGGTGGCTTTTATTTTTTATTTTTTTGTTGAAATCCGATTGTTTATAGTTAGGGTTTTGCTCGCCTACTTGGTCCTGTTCTTTTCATCCTATATTTAATGTGTTTGGGGCGCTCTAAGTTGCTGCATCTGGTTTATATACTCGTTAATTTTGTTTAATTATATTTTGTATGTTGGTTTGTCTTATTTTTTGTTTTTGTTTTGTTGTTTGTTTTCTGAAATCAGGTTTATGCTTTGTTTGCTATGTTGCACATAGATGTGTGAGTGTATTAGCTTAGCTGATGCAGAGTTTGAGAGTTGATCTAAAAGGATTTTGAACTATAGCAGTATTGGTTTTGATTGTCATTGGTTACTCTCCTGCTTGTAATTTCATTTCTATATATGATTGTTAATTCTAATGTATTTTATTAGTTAACAAGCATCAAAACTATTTGCAGGGCTCTATTGTTTGATTGAAATGGATGATGAGCTGCTTCTGATTTTTGTAGGGTTATGACGTGGATTGCTACCCGCCTCCGATGTTTAAATCTCCATTCTCACCACTTCCACTGGAAAGGATGCGCCAGGGTACAAGCTATATTGATACATGCGGCTATGCTAGAGTTGTCGGAGCAGCCGAGTTAGCAATTCAGGATATCTGTGAAGAGACTGTGCGTTTCTAATCTGCCCTTAAATATATTTTGCTTTGTAATGTTATCACCTCAAATCATGAACATCATTCTAGCCTTATTTTGCTTCAATTTTTATTTTTATTTTGTTCAAAGCTTGGTTGCTCCATAGTCTACTAAAAATCCAGATTACAACAGGGTCACAGATATAAGCTTGTGAAAGTCGAGAGGGCTGTCATGGTCCTGACCAGGCCCGGGGTGTACTTCTTGACTTTGACTGCCGAGGAAGATGGTGTCCCTGTGCAAACTATTCAAGCCCAGGTCTGCTACTCCGTTGAGGAGCATCCAATCCTTTATGAGTGGAGGTTCAAACCACTCCCTGCTCAAAATGCCTGTAAGAAAATGCTTATTATAATTTAAATATTTATGGTGAATGTATATGTGGAATTTTTCGTACAATATTTAGCAAGCCAGACTTGTATTTCTAACACCGACTTTTGGGTACGAAGAAAATCATCTACTTTAGATGGGGTTTTGTTGATGGTTGACCTACACCTTTGCTAGTTGTAAAATGTTGCTCACCCAAAGCATTTAGCTCACACAAATCCCACATTTCGACAGACAAGTGGTTAAAATGTTGCTTAATANNNTATTATTATTTTTAGTAAATGATTATTCTTATTATATATATATATATAATAAGAATAATCATTTACTAAAAATAATAATATATATATATATATTATTTTTTTAAAAACTTTTTAAAAGCTTTTTAAATATATGCGTTAATTGCTTCCATATACATGTTTTCAAATAAGATCTCTGATCAAAAATATTATTTTGTAAATAATTTTATTATCATCTGCAATAGTTTTATTGATATCCATTATAATAAATGACAAGATTACTTTTATGTTATTCAGGTTGATAATATATTTTGGTCAAGATAAATATTACAACATATTTAAACTTCTAACCATAATATTAATTTTTTTTACAAATATTCCTTTTTTATCCAAAAATATTTATAGAAAATTCTTCCAGTTAATCAGACGAAATCAAATTGGGGAATTAATCTTTGTCAATATAATTTTTTTCTAAGCTTTATTTCGTTATATATAAAAAATAAATTATTCTTTAAAATAATATAATGTATCAGTTAAGAGATCTTAAATTGACAAGATACATTAAATAGTTTTACTAATGGTCAAAAATTAAAATTGAAATATATTAACTGTTTTTTAGAATTTATTTGTATATTATTGGCAACCATGATTGCCACGGTTGCTAGTTAATTAATTTGTACTTAAATTCTAAAAAAAAAGTATGAAAGAGGAGTTTTAATTTAACACGTAATTAATATTAGTTATATTTGAAATAGTACTATTCACTTGTACAATTTATCTGTCTTATATTATAGTATTAATTTATAATTTTATAGATATTGATATATAGTTTTATTAATTATCAGTTAGTCTTAATAGGTAATTGATTGTTATAATAAAGAGGACCTCAATTTCTTTTTAATCTTATTTTTGAGATACGTACTGGATAGGGTTTGTCTCTACATAGTTTGGCATAAAAAAATTTAAATCCAGAAACTATACGCCTCCCAATACACAGAGAAAACCAGCAGGAAGCGTTCGGCAATCTAAGACCCTACCCCCGTTTTCAATTCTAACGACACCTTCGTAAGAGAGTGTGCGTGTACGATTGATATTTTTCTTTTCTTTGTCAATGTGTGTGTTGAAGGTTATGTAGCTGTGCATCAGTCAAAATTTCATGCCGACAAGGCAGAAAGATCTATCCGGGAGCCGCCACTCTTTGCACTGAGAGCTGCAAGTGGGCATGTGAGAGATCTCAATATCCAGTTTGCGAGGTCTTTTACTGCTTATATCTTTTCACTCACTCATTCGTTTTTTTTTTTAATTACTAATGCTTGGAGTACTGATTTTGCTAGTTATTTGAGTTTCTTGAGTTAGCTGTAGTGATTGGGTACTTCGTTCTGGGTGGACTGCAGAACTTTTGGTTCAAATTACTGAACTGTGGCCATCAGTTTTGTGTAATGCTTGTACTTTGTGTTGACCCCTGCTTAGCTTAGATGGATGAAATTGTTTGTAGCAGGGTGGAGTTGCGAACATTGAAATTTTGTGTGCTGGGTTGACGTCAGTAATTTGACACTGTCATGCTTAAGTTTGCAAAAAGTTTTTTGTTCCTAAGATCATGTCTTGAATGCTGTTGGCAGTACCACAAGTTTGAAAGTTAGATACTGTAAAATCATCTGAGGTTTATTTGTATCAGTTCCATGTTCTTTTGCTTGCTTTCTCTGCTATGTTATGTGTCATAGATTGGAAGTTTGTGAGTACTGTGATTTATATCAATGCCTGAGATGTGCTGTAGCAGTGTAGTGGACTTCTTGTATTTCGTTCTGACATTGTTTAGATTTGTTTTGTAATGTTGTGAACTCTTACATGATCAGTTGGACACAAAGTCGATTACAAAACCATCCAGATGAGCTTTGGGAGGATGGAGTGCAGGTTTACTTAAACCGTGCTGAAAGCATCATGGTAATTTCTCAGTATCTGCAATTTTACTCAGCATCTCTAAGTCATCTAGTGCACCATTCGGCTGTGATGAAGTCATCCTGGGGGGTCATTTCTATAGTTTGTAGTTATTATTATATGGGTATATTTTGTGATTACAAGGATGTCGACCTGACATTATTTGGTGAACTTTTTTGTTTAAGTAAGTACTTGGCTATCTCATTATCCTTTGGCCAATTTGTTTTGGAGTAAAAGAGCATGCGGAAGACATTGATTGTGACTCTTGGCCAGCATATGGTGCTATTCATACTAAGCATATATTTTTTACCAAAAGCTCTTGTAAAGTATGTTGTTGAAATTTTAAACAAACATTAAATTTAATTATTAGTATTGCTAGACACCATAAAAATACTGACCCTGCCATCCTCATGGGATTGTCTTATCCGATGTGAATCCTTTAGAATCACTACCACTATTTGTTGAGTAGTTTTTGACCATGAGTGGCCCCGTCAGTTATTCATGTGTTATCAAATATTGATTATATGAGAGGTGTCTGATGCTTTCTAGTGGAAGTGCGAAGGTCCACCGCATGTAGTGGCCTGAGTAGAATCTCTCTCTCTATCTCCGTCTCTCTCATCCTCTCCGTATCCAACCTCTATCTAGGAGCACATGTTCAGATTAATGAATTAATCATTATTCTTTTTGGCATCCCTTTCATTGATACATCACAATGAGTGAGGACAAATTTTGAGGACTTAAATTTTAAGGTACAAAAGTAAGTTTCTGTAGTTTACTGTTAGTGTACTGACTCGTCTTCAATTGTAGGATATTTATGGTGATGCTGTTAATTGGTTGAGAACAAATGCCGTGAAACGAAGGGGTGTAGCCAAGATTCCATCTGAAGATGCTCGGACTAAGCCTCTATGGAAACCTGCACGTCTCTATAATAATAATGGTCGTTTCACATTTGGAGGTATTATTTCAATATAATTGATGTAGTGTATAACATATATATATATATATATATATACACACACTATGTAGCGTGTATCTACTGCCTGCAATCGTAAATGGTGCATTGTGAAATTAAATATTCATTACAAGATTTGATGTATGTGTTTGCAAGTTATTCAAGTATGAATATGTTCCCAATTAGAATATTTACAGAGTAGCTACCATTGTCACTCTAATTCATAATATCTTAAGTATCTTTTTGTATCATTAGTTCGCTCTAGTTCATGATATCTTAAGTCTCTTTTTGTATCATTAGTTCCACTGCACTGGGTTCCCATATGTGGGTGATTTAACAACACTTTTTGCCATTCAATAAAAGAATTCCGTACTGGTTTTTTTCTACCGATAAATGATGTTAGTTCAGTTGAAAGTGTTCTTAAATTCTACGCTTTGGTTCTTTACCCTCCATAATTGACGATGTGTTTGAAAACTGTGATCATCTTGCTTTATTTTGGATACTGTTTTTTGCTCATGGTCTCAGGAAGCGAGGTTTCAGTTCCTGGAATTGGAAATGCCAACGCTGTTGCTTCAAATGAACTTGATGGAGGTAAGGGGTGATAAGGTCTTTATGATTAAATGATCTTTAATAAAGCTGTTAATTTTCTGGTTAATCTATCACGGCTATGTCCACTTTATGATCATCCGTATTATAAGGTTTGAATGCTTGTTGCGTTTTTAATCAAGTTATCATTTGCTTGCATTTTCTTATGAAATTAATTTCAAGAGCTTAATGCCTATGTCCACAATATAAAATCCTCCTAGAATGACCTCAAATTGTGAGTTTAGGATGGAGATTCCTTGTAGACTGTCCCGAAAAATTGAAGTGGTTTAACGCTGATCAAAAGAGGTGGAAAATAGATGATAATCCTATTGCTTTTTAACGAGCCTATGAAAATAACTCATTTAATATTTCTTTCCCGTGCATCGCACACGGAACATACTAGTTTATTATTTAAGTAGCACAATAACAAATTTATCCTTAAATTCTAAAAAAAGAAGTATGAAAGAGGAGTTTTAATTTAACACGTTATTATAGTACTATTCGCTTGTACAATTTATTCGTCTTATATTATAGTATTAATTTATAATTTTATAAATATTGATATATAATTTTATATTTTCAGTTAGTCTTTAATAGGTAATTTAATTGTTATAATAAAGAGGGCCTCAGTTTCTTTTATTCTTATTTTTGAGATATGTACTGGATAGGTTTGGGTCTCTGCATAGTTTGGCATAAAAAAATCTAAATTCAGAAATTATACACCTCCCAATACACAGAGAAAACCAGAGAAAACCAGCAGGAAGCCTTCGGCAATCTTAACACCCTACCCCCATTTTCAATTCTAACAACACCTTCGTAAGTGCGTGTGTTGAAGGTTATGTAGCTGTGCAGACGCAGAGCAAGATAGCAGTAATGGGGTCTCAATTTCATGCCGACAAGGGAGAAAAATATATCCGGCCGCGGCCACTGGATTTACTGAAATCTAAATCACCAGGATGGCATGTGACAAATCTCAATGTCCAGTTTACGAGGTCTCTTACTGCTTGTATCTTTTCACTCACTCAGTGGTTTTTTNCTCACTCATTGGTTTTTTTTTTCTTTTTTTAAATTATTAATGCATGGAGTACTGATTTTGCTAGTTATTTGAGTTTCTTTAGTTAGCTGTAGTGATTGTGTGCTTCGTTCTGGGGTGGACTGCAGAACTTTTGGTTCAAATTACTGAACTGTGGCCATCAGTTTTGTGTAATGCTTGTACTTTGTGTTGACCCCAGCTTATCTTAGATGGATGAAATTGTTTGTAGCAGGGTGGAGTTGCCAACATTGAAATTTTTGTGTGCTGGGTGGACCTCAGTAATTTGACACTAAAAGTTTTCAGTTCCTAAGATCGTGTCTTTATGTTTAACTGGAATGCTGTTGGCGGTACCACAAGTTTGAAAATTAGATACTGTAAAATCATCTGAGGTTTATTTGTATCAGTTCATGTTCTTTTGCTTGCTTTCTCTGCTATGTTATGTGTCATAGATTGGAAGTTTGTGACTACTGTGATTTATATCGATACCTGAGATGTGCTGTAGTAGTGTAGTGTACTTCTTCTATTTCCTTCTGACATGGTTTAGATTTGTTTGGTAATGTTGTGAACTCTTACATGATCAGTTGGATACAAAGTCAATTACAAAACCATCCAGATGAGCTTTGGGAGGATGGAGTGGAGGATTACTTAATCCGTGCTAAATGCCTCAGGGTAATTTATCAGTATCTGCAATTTTACTCGCTATCTCTAAGTCATCTAGTGCACCATTCGGCTGTGATGAAGTCATCCTGGGGGGTCATTTCTATAGTTTGTAGTTATTATTATATGGGAATATTTTGTGATTACAAGGATGTCGACCTGACATTATTTGGTGAACTTTTTTGTTTACGTAAGTACTTGGCAATCTCATTATCCTTCGGCCAATTTGTTTTGGTGTAAAAGAGCATGCGGCAGACATTGATTGCGATTCTTGGCCAGCATTGGTGCTATTCATACTATAACACATTTTTCACAAAAAGCTCTTGTAAAGTATGTTGTTGAAATTTTAAACAAACATTAAATTTAATTATTAGTACTGCTAGACACCATAATAATACTGACCCTGCCATCCTCATGGGATTGTCTTATCCGATGTGAATCCTTTAGAATCACTACCACTATTTGTTGAGTAGTTTTTGACCAAGAGTGGCTCCGTCAGTTATTCACGTGTTATCAAATGATTGATTATATGAGAGGTGTCTAATGCTTTCTAGTGGAAGTGCTAAGGTACACCACATGTAGTGGCCTGAGTAAAATCTCTCTCTCTCTCTGTCTCTATCTCTCATCCTCTCTGTATCTAACCTCTATCTAGGAGCACATGTTCAGATTAATGAATTAATCATTATTCTTTTCGGCATCCCTTTCACTGAAACATCACAATGAGTGAGGAGACAAATTTTGTGGACTTAAATTTTTAGGTACCAAAGTAACTTTCTATAGTTTACTGTTAGTGACTTGTTGTCTTCAATTGTAGGAGCTTTCTGGTGATGCCGTTAATTGGTTGAGAACAAATGCCGTGACACGAAGGTGTATACCCAACACTCCATCTGAAGATGCTCGGACTAAGCCTCTATTCGCAATTGGCAAAAGCAGTCATACATTGTTTTCGGACAAACCTATGTTTCCTGCAGCCACAACAGCAAGCTCTAGAACCCCATGGAGACCTGCACTTCTCTTTAATGCTGGCCCTTTCACATTTGGAGGTATTATTTCAATATAGTTGATGGAATGTTTATATATATATATATATTCACTATGTAGCATGTATCTGCTGCATGCAATCGTAAATGGGGCATTGTGAAATTATATATGCATTACAAGATTTGATGTATGTGTTTGCAAGTTATTCAAGTATGAATATGTTCCCAATTAGAATACTTACAGTGTAGCTACCATAGTCGCTCTAATTCATAATATCTAAATCTCTTTTTGTATCATTAGTTCGCTCTAATTCATGATATCTTAAGTCTCTTTTTGTATAATTAGTTCCACTACATACTGGGTTCCCATATGTGGGTGATTTAACAATACTTTTTCCCATTCAATCATTAGTTCCACTGCATACTGGGTTCCCATATGTGGGTGATTTAACAATACTTTTTCTCATTCAAATAAAGAAAGAATTCCGCACTGGTTTTTTTCTATCGATAAATGATGTTAGTTCAGTTGAGAGTGTACTTAAATTCTATACTTTGGTTCTTTAGCCTCCATAATTGACGATGTGTTTGAAAACTGTGATCATCTTGCTTAATTTTGGATACTGCTTTGTGCTCATGGTCTCAGGAAGCGAGGTTTCAGTTCCTGGAATTGGATATGCCAATGCTGTTACTTCAAATGAACCTGATGGAGGTAAGGGGTTATAAGGTCTTTATGATTAAATGATGTCAATAAAGCTGTTAATTCTCTGGTTAATCTATCACGGCTTATGTCCACTTTATGATCATCCGTATTATAAGGTTTGAGTGCTTGTTGCGTTTTTAATCAAGTTTTCATTTGCTTGCATTTTCTTATAAAATTAATTTCAAGAGCTCAATGCCTATGTCCACAATACAAAATCCTCCTAGAATGACCTCAAATTGTGAGTTTAGGATGGAGATTCCTTGTAGACTGTCCCGAAAAATTGAAGTGGTTCACCAATCTTAACAAGGATTTATTTAATGTGCATTAATACTGATTAGACTTTGATTCATCTCATTTTTGCTCGTTGCACAGATATTATATAGGAATATCATATACAAAACCCAATAAAGATGAGTACTTGCAAGCAAATGTCTTAAATTACATGATAGCCCAAGTTGATATGTTATCCAATGGGGGGATAGCCAGAAAAGTTGATCGGGTGGTCTTAGTTCATCATCTGCAATTGTTACTTTGTTAATGGTACTAGCATGGAATTAGAACCCTTTATTCTCATTTTTCGTGGAGTTAATAGAATACGATTATTGTCCATTGCAAATGGAGCTGGAAGAGTCATTGTTGACAATTCTCCTGGCATAGTGCTAATAATGGACTAGATCAAAATGGCTCAATTAAATTCTAGTGCTTCTTCTATTATTGAAGTTTCTAGAAAAAAAAATATATCAAACAGCGCAATGCACCTTGGGTCGCTACAGAAACAGCCTCCTTGTATAATTACAAGGGTAAGGTCTGCGTACAACTGACCCCCCAGACCCCAACCTGTTGGGAATATACTGGGTATGTTGTTGTTGTTGTTGTTGTTGTTAATAGAATATGATTCCAAAATTTGTATCCCAATTTTTCTGGAGGGGTTTCACATATATTTGCTATTGAATGAGGTGGCATGCAGATAGGAGAATATGGCCTTGTAGGAATTTTAAATTTTAGTGCAGTTAATACAATGTAGCTTGATGCTGTTTCTTGTATTTCCTTCCAACAAAACAACAAGCTACCATTCGTATGATCACACTCCATGTAAATATGCGTCTTTGCATATCCTACGACTGTTGTGTTGCAGGTGGGAAAGCTGCTGCTCGATGCATTGATATACCCAGGCATCATGACAATTGTGCTAAAGAACTCAGTTTTAACAACATTTCATACTTCGGTAATTCATTGCTGTTATGCTGTTACTTCACATTTGTTTCCCATGTTTTCATTTATTTGGCAATTTTTTTCACTGTGTATTACTGTTTTATAGGTTGCATTATCGTTAACTTGATCGCACTTACTCCTTATAACAAAACTGAAGGGGAATGCATGCATTTTTAGTTCAGCTTAGTATTGTTCTAACAGTTTGATATTGAGGGGTCATTTGAATGACCAATTTGGTCAAATCATGCAGAAACTAAGATGTTCAGCCTATTAAATAGTCAGCAACACAGTTAATCCATTTTGTTGAAAATTCAATTTTAGCCGTGCGACATCTAATTTCCTGTAAAGATTTGTGATTTACGTTAAGGTTTTGTTCAAGGAGGCATAATTTTATCCTACTGCCCCTAAAAATAGAGAAAATGTAGCCTACTCTTTTTACAGAATTAAGCCAATCTTTTGCAATGTGAAATCCCCAGATATGTTAATATTTACGTAGTTGCCCATTTAAATCTTAATATTTACGTAGTTGCCCATTTAAATCAACTATATCTGATGTTTAATTTCATGCTATCTTTAAAGGATGATGGTGATAGCAATGAAAAAGTCGTTGCTCGGCCCTTTTTAATGAGAACAAAGACTAAGGAGGACAGAGAAAAACTTGCTGCTGCCATTCAGGATTGCGCGCCTGCAAGCCGAGACTCGCAAAGTATATATGCTTTATTGTACATACCATTTTGTTCTACGTCTAGCTCAAGGGCCCTGCATTATCGGGATTTTTTCGATGGAATTTAAAGATTTTAGGACCTGTGAATTTCATTTGCCTGTGTATTTTTTTCTTTGATACTACCAATTTCCAAGTTTGATGTGTGCTTTCTGAATATTTCGTTTTCTACTCTTGATATTTGTAGTTGGTAATAATTTTGTTTGATCATTTGTGAGCATTCTATCTTTACTATATATAACAACCTAGTACGTAACCTGGTGTACGGGTTCTATTTCTTGTAGTAAAATTTATAAATTGAAGGTTATTATTAATCCATATGTTATAATACGCAGAACATTTGTCGATTAATCATAAAATGTTCGTCATGACAAAGTTGTATAATATTGAAAACCTCGTTATTTTCCATGCAAAATCATAAGACAATTGTAAACTAATATTTATCAAGATTGTTCTCCACTTGGTAATTGCGAATTGCATGCATATACACCTCATTCTTCTATTTTTTTGTTTATTTTTCGAATGTAAACACCACGAAATAAGATTATAGTGAAAATACGATTTATCGGTTGAAGTTTAATTTTATATGGAATATAAGAAAAATTGTTACTTTGAAGTGTGGATTTTGAATATGTATATATATTTTCCAATCATTCTCATTTTTTATACCAAATCCGTTCCAATATTTAAAACATACTTGTTTTTGTTATATTTTAACAGAGATTTGGAATTTCGATTGTATCTTTTGTAACATAGTATTTACAAGAATAATTACATCAAAAAAATGACATTTTATCATTGTAAATTTAAAATAATTAAATAGATCGGAGGACATGGCAATCACATTTTTTAAGAAAAAAAGTGTGTCAAATAAATTAATTTGTTTGTATATCTAAATTTCATTTTGCAAGAATCTTGTGTATATATCTTTGAAAGACGACGATAATTTTTTGTTTGGATTCATAATGTATTAACTTTTTCCGTGATTAATAAGGATATAAAAATCGTATCTTTTAAATTGAAATGCCACTCTCTAGAAAACAAATATCATTTATTAAAAAATATATATTTTTTTGAATCGAATTGTTACTTGACATCATTTAGACATTTACCCCTTATTTCCAACTTTATCTCTTTAAAGAAATCGAAATCAAACTTTAATTGTAGGATGGTTATGAAATGAGTGGAGACATATAAATTTGAAATTTTACAACTGTTTTAATAATGTAATACCTGTCCAGATCCTTTTATTCCTAAATTCTTAGCGTAAAACCCTAAAATGTAACAAAGAAACGTGGGATTCATGCTTTGTTTACGCAAAAATTGTTGTGAGGACATTTAACTGTTAGAATAATATAACATGTTAACTTTTTAAACGATTTTTTGTTGTGAGGTCATATAATTCTTAGAATAATCAACATGTTACCTTCTTTAAACGAATTAATATTAAGATATCACTTTTCAGAACGTGTTATGTATTCCTGCACAATTACAAGTAAATAAGAGCATTACATTAGAATGAAGCACTTTTGCTGGAATATATTCGCCTTAATTAGAAAACTACCCAACACCCAAAATGTTGGTTAACATTTGACTGCATATTCCTATCATCAGGAAAAGTTCTAATTAGAATTTGTTATTTTCTCTAAACAAAATCTAATTNAAATTGTTTTTGCTTTAACAGTCCGCCAAGATCGAGAAGAAAAGCCATGAAAATCAACAAAAACAACTTGCTAAACACAAAACAAGCGCCAAACTAGAAACAATAAACAAACAACCGAGCAATGAAGTCCATAAAAACGAAGCTTTGTTCAACTGCAACCGAATAACAATCTTGATTAATCAAAAAGGCTAAAACCCATATCATCATCCGACTCCTCAGCAGGCTCCTCTTTCTTCTCCTCCTCCTTGGAGGCACCACCACTAGCAAGGGCGGCACCACCATCGGCCGAAACAACAGGTGTCGACACCACAGCAAACTTGCTCGGATCCTACATTACATACACAAATCAAAATATTAATCAATAAATCAAACAAACCAAACAGAAGCGAAAAATAAAAAAGAAAAAAGAAAAACATACTGCAAGATATTCTTTGACTTTGTCAGCCTGTGGGAAAGAATAATCGGTGGCCACAGCAAAAGCCAACACATTCTTGTAACCATTGATAAACATGTGAGGAGCTGCAGCAAGTGTAGGGTAAGAGATGGCGAGTGAAAGTGAGGTGACCATTGTGACACCCAAAGCAAATTTCTCAATAAGATCATCTTCAGTCAAGTCGAGAACTTCTGGGCTGAACACAGACCCATTGTCATAAACAGAGATGACAACAAGCCCGTATGAGAAGGGCCTGATACCGAGCTTGGCAAGGAGGGCAGCTTCAGAGGAGCCCACCTTTTCGCCCTTCTTGATGAGCTCGACTGGGGTTATGATTTCGACTGTACCCTTGTTAATCTTGGTTGGGATGTTGAGGACCTGTGGATGTATGGGTTTTATTAGAACAATGACCACAATAGATTGCGAAAACGAAAAAAGGAGAAGAAAAAAGTACTATGAAAATGAAGATGATGTACCTGGAAAAAGGAAGTTTGTGATGGGTCGAGACCGGTGTTGCCAGGTGGCACGACGACATCAATTGGAGCAACCAAACCGACACGAGCTGGTGCTCCAACCTGTTAAACAACATCGGAAAAACGAAACAAGGAAAGTGATATGCAAAGCAACTATTAAAATAGCAAGTGCAATTTAAACAAGATAAAACAAGATTGTTCACTGATTTATGATCATGCTGTCCAGCCTTGTATATTTGGAGTTTCAATTTTCAGAAAACAATTACGCAAAACATATTCCACAGACTGCTACATTGAATGAAACTGCAACTATCTTCGAATAATACTGAAATTTTGGCAGTAAAATTCAAATACACAAAATACAATCCACTTTAGAAACAAAGTAGGTGTGAAACAGACTCAAGGAACAGTTTTCACGTATATAATGAATTTAAATCAGAATCAAGGAGCTACATAGATTCAAGTACATGAAATCAGTGAAATTCAAGGGTGAACTTCACACTACCCCCATGGAATTTTTCACCACACATTTTTACACACAACCATGGGGATTGGATTGGGGGTGTGCATACAAATGTGAGATGAAAACTCCATGGGGAAAATGCCCCAATAGTAGTTCAAACCTTCTGAACTTGGTGTCAAAATTTACCATTTCACAGTTGCAGAGTCTAAGAACAGAACCTCAGCGAGCTAAAGATAAACAATATTTTTAAATTCCTACTATTCCACCATCTTAACATAGCTTGTTCATCCACATAATGAAAAGTGACATCGGCATCAGAGCTATAAAATGTTGAAATTGTAAAAATCACAAACACCTAGCCCAGAGATACTTTACACGGAACTGATACCAACAGGAAGGCACAAATGTGTAATTCTATCCTACCATTCAGAAACTTACAATTAGCTACAACACAGCTGACTAGGCCATTTATACTTCAACAAAAACCCTTTATATTTCAACAAGAACTATATAGGATAACCAACTCACCTTGTACTTAGCAACTTCCTCACTGACTTCCTTGAGGTCACCCTTGGTGAAGATCAGCCCAACATTCCCCTGCCCAAACAGAGTCCAACCAAAAAAGTTCAAACTTTTGCACATTAATATAATAACATAACTAAAGGAAGCTCGAAACTCACGACTAGGAGAGGAATGATATTGAGAATCGCCTTGTTCCCCGTCTTCTCCGAATGGATACGGATGGACCTCTTCATCATCGTGTTCTTTCCCATGAGCACCACAGAGTCGCCCCTCAGCCCTCTCCGTATGTTCTGGAGCTGGTTCGAGCCAACGTTGTCCGCGGCCGCCACCAGAACCTGCGTGTACTCATCGAGCAACTGGCATAGCTTCGAGTCGTAAGCAATCTTCTTCTCGGCCTTGGTAACCTTTGGCGCCATTTCTATCAGTTACAGCGAAGTATAATTTACAGAACTATAAAAAAACCCTAGAAGCGAAAGAAAGAGATGCAAAAATGAGGGCCAAGACGCAGCGGCTGAGGCTAGGTCAAGGCGGACAGCCGCGGCGCCGTCACTTTAACCTCTTCGATTAAGATTCGGGGGTTTAGGGGTGCAACCGAAAGTTGGAAGAGCGAAGAAGCAGAGTGAAAATGGCTATGAAGGTTTTAAGGGGGTTTTGTAGGACTAAATAGCGTGACCTAATATTGACGGTGAGGATTTGAGCTTGTAATGGATCGTACGGCAATTGTTGCCTGTTGGCATTGGGTTTTTTTAATATTGGGCCTTATGGTAAGGCCCATTAAAGTATAATGAGCTTCCCGGGAGTTGCGTTTAGATAGAGGTAAATTTTTGTAGTCTTGGGCTTTGTTTTCAGGCCATAAAATTCATCGGGCTTCATAAAAAGATACACTCTGCAAGCAGCAACTATTGTTATGAATCTCTGATTTATGGTTAATATCATGAAATTTTTTATCGTCGATAGTATAGCTTGTCGTGACTCATAAAAGCTCGATTTTGACTCATTCATTCATTTAAAGGAATCATGCTGGAACAACTAACCGGTCTAATTTATTAAACAAGTTGAGTCGAACTCATTTGCAAACAATCCTTCTATTTTTATACAACTCTTATAAGTATCGATCAAGCAAGCGACTTAAGCATTCTTGCGAACATCTCGTTTACAATTTTGAGTTTGTTAGTTGAACTTAGTTAAATCGAGTTGATCTTTCACAAACTTAAACAACACGAAGTTCTATAGACTCGAATAACACACATTACCAAGCTTGCTCTTAATCTTTAATAATTAGGTTTTCCGCTAAACCTATAGTTAAGTATGTGATCAAAGTTTGTACTTTTACCAAAAGAATGGTCATTTTATGCATGCATGAGTCACGATTCAAAAAAGGGAACATGATATGATTATAATCATTGGAAATATTGGATTTGTATTTGGAAAATGGCCAGTGAGTTGAGGAGCCACCACATATTGGAAAAATTTAAAGGATTGTTTACATATGTAGAATGTCTGTCTAAAAATATGTTGAACGTTCAAAGTTACTAAAAGCTTTTAATTAGTTCTTAGATGTTATTCTCCTAGCCATTATGAACACCAATTGAATGATTGAGTGTTAGGTTCTTGTTGGCAAATGTGAATATATAAACAACCATATTCTAATTATGCATTATGATAATGATGGTTTTGAACGATATATTATCTTGAGAATAAATTCTTTTATGAGACTAGGTATATTGACTTGTCATATTCAATTATTAAAAATGAATATTTCATATTGATAAATGCCATGCTTGTATTTATATTATTATTTAAAATATGATATCATTTAATAAAATTATACATAGTTATAAGTCTGGAACTTATGTATGTACAAAATAACATAAAAACAAGTTAGATGGGTCACACATTCCTTACTTAGTTACTTGTGATTTGGGTATCCCGTGATTTAGAGAAATGATTGAAATTAGTGAAAAACAATATCAATTCATTGATTAAATAATTGAAAAAAATACTAAAAGATGAGTAAATAGATAATAATTTATTTTGGTTTTGATAAAATTACCAACTTATATGGTTGTTTATGACATGGATATAATTGAATCGATCCTCACTAAAATGGTTGAAAAATACTATATTATTTGGTAAATCAATATTCCTATCCATAGACAAACGAATGAACGATTAGTTAGTCATACTTTTTCAATATATATATAAATATTTAAATTAAAATAACACATAATCAGAAATAGCGCAAACAAAAAAATACATTTTTACTGTAAAAAAGTATTACATCCAAATGATTCAACTAACTCATAATAGTTTGTAATTATACATGTACGTACATACATATTTAAAAAACAAATACATATTTCAACTTTGCATCATTATAATTTTTATCTTTCTAAATATCAAAGTCATCCAAGGAAAATTTAAAAATGACAAAGATTATAGCAATCACCACCAGAATCTCTGGTACTCATTTGCGGCCTAAAAGACTCGAAAAGTGGTTGCCCTTTAGCTGTAAGAATACCCTTTTTCCCATTCTCTCCCCGTAGACTATACAGAGCAAAAAGTAGCCGCTCCATTTCACCTCTCACTATCCAATAAAACACGCACACACACTCACACTATGTGTGTGTTTTTGGTGCTTACTGTCACAGTACACAGATGGAAAATTAGCAGAAAGGCTTTAACTCTGTACAGTGTGTGCAGAAAAACAGCCCTTTCATCCGGGCAATTTTCTTGGCCTATTGGGTTTTGTCAAAGTTCAAATCTTTTCTCGTGAAGTAAAAAAAATCAAATCTTCTTTGAGTGAGAGAGAATGAAGCTGCTGATTTTTCTTGGTATTCAACCCCCTGCACGCTTTCGTAGATAGGAGGAAAAAATAGTCTTTATTATATTTATTGACCTCAAACTCCTGACATCCATAAGAAAATAGGTGGGTTTGCAATTAAACCACACTTTGCTTTAGCAGAACTTTGTTCATTTGCCAAAAGGTTCGTTCCTTTTTCTGAGTTGCAGGTTTTAGTTTGAAAGAAAATGTTTCCTCAGAAACAGGCAGAGGAGGCTATAATCCATAGAAATATGGATGAGAATTATCATGACAATGAGAGAGATGAGGAGATGAGTAATGCAAAATTCAGGTTTAGCTTCAAAAGCATTATTTGGCATGGGGGCTCTGTTTATGATGCTTGGTTCAGCTGTGCTTCAAATCAGGTAATTTTTTTTATTTTTTTATTTTTTTTTTCAGAAATTCAAGACTTGTGAAAAAACAGAATTTTGAATTTACATGTTTACACAATTGCATGTTTTTTTATTTCGTTAGTTACCAGGAAAATTTTTACAATTATCATTATTATTTTTTCCTTAGTTTAAAAGGTTGAATCTTGATGTGTGTGTCTGTGTGTGTGTGTGTGTGTGCTTTTTTTCAGGTGGCACAGGTTTTATTGACATTGCCATACTCCTTTTCTCAAATGGGAATGGTTTCAGGAGTAATTCTTCAAATATTTTATGGCTTGCTTGGAAGTTGGACTGCTTATCTTATTAGTGTGCTCTATGTTGAGTACAGAACCAGAAAAGAAAAAGAGAATGTTTCCTTCAGAAACCATGTCATCCAGGTAAACCTATAAAGAATTAACTTTTTTTTTAATCCAATATGAATCAACCAAAAAAAAAAAAGTAAAATATTATTGAAGTCTAATTGTTCTGTTTTTTCCCATTTTTTATCCTCCTTTAAATATGCATGTAGTGGTATGAAGTCTTGGATGGCTTATTAGGTCCCTATTGGAAGGCTGTGGGATTAGCCTTCAATTGCACATTCCTTTTGTTTGGCTCAGTTATCCAGCTTATAGCTTGTGCAAGGTGAAATTCACATACTAGACATAATTCCAAAAAAGGCACCCCTTAGTTTTAATCTAAAATGCATGTTAGAAATTCAATCCAATTCCATTTTTAATGGTTTTCGATTGATTTGCAGCAACATATACTACATTAACGATCGGTTAGACAAGCGGACTTGGACATACATATTCGGGGCATGTTGTGCTACAACTGTATTTATTCCCTCTTATCATAACTATAGGTTATGGTCGTTTTTGGGGCTCGGGATGACTACTTATACTGCCTGGTACTTGACTATAGCTTCTTTTGCCCATGGCCAGGTAAACAATTTCGAGTTACACTTTCATAATTTCTAAACAGTTGAGAGTGATTATAGCAAAAACTTTAAGGTAGAAATTGCATTCTGAATGAGTTGTGACATTGTAACATTTTTTTCATGCCTAGGATTTTTTAGCCTTTTTACACATTGCGGCCTAAAAACTTTCGATCTTTGACTAGTCACTTGCGCAAATTTGCCGCTTAAATTGAAATATTTTTAAAAAACTGATAAACAGGCTGGGGATTTTGAAGTTAAGGCAAAAGTTGATTTTTTATTTTTTTTTGGAAGAAAAATGGAAATTGAGAGTCCATTACATGTGACAATGGCTACTGGCTAGTGTATTTGTGGGGGCAAAATGTCCCATGATCCTTTTTGACTAAAATCCTTATGTGGGTCTGACTTTTGGTCAAAGATTTTGATTCCCAATCATTTTTTTTGCAGGTTGAAGGAGTGACTCACTCTGGACCAACCACAATGGTTTTGTATTTTACTGGAGCCACCAATATTCTTTATACTTTTGGTGGCCATGCTGTCACTGTGTAAGTGTGTTTTCTATCTTTCTTCTTCTTTTTTTCTTTTCCCCCAGCTTTTAACTTGTGGAAAGTAACATAAATGGATAATTAAACACAAAACTTGTATCCAGCAGTGGTCTGTGTTTGTCCTGAAAAAAATTGTTCACTTGTTAGCTACATTTTCGTGTCTGACTGATTTGATAAATGTATATACTTGTCTGTGGCCATAATCTTTATTGTATATGCTTAATGTGCAATTTGATTTCATTACACAAGTCACAATATTTCTTTCTAGTGAAATAATTTCGACGTGTAGATGATCATTATTTTTTGCCACCCNTTTCAGTGAAATTATGCATGCAATGTGGAAACCGAGTAAATTCAAGTACATATACCTACTTGCTACATTATATGTGTTCACGCTCACAATCCCTTCAGCCTCAGCCGTTTACTGGGCTTTCGGAGATAAACTCCTCACGCACTCCAATGCATTCTCTCTTCTTCCACGAACACATTACCGTGATTCAGCAGTTGTCCTAATGCTCATCCACCAGGTCTATTATAAATATTTTTTTTCTAAAAATATTTCCTTTTTCAGAACAAAAAGAACCCATTAATGTTATAATACTTAGTAAAAAAATGTATTATTTTTGCATGTGTTTTGAGTTTTGCAGTTCATAACGTTCGGGTTCGCATGTACGCCTTTGTACTTTGTGTGGGAGAAAGTGATTGGCATGCACGACACGAAAAGCATATTCGTACGGGCCCTCGCCAGATTACCTGTGGTGATACCCATATGGTTTCTTGCCATTATTTTCCCCTTTTTCGGGCCCATAAATTCAGCCGTGGGCTCACTTCTCGTTAGCTTCACGGTCTACATAATTCCAGCCCTGGCCCATATGCTCACTTACAAAGAAGCCTCCGCTCGTCAGGTAAACTATATGCTAATCCATTTTTTTGTAATACATTTTTTTTTTTTTTTTTNGTCGAAAAATAACTCTCAAGATTCAATCTTTTGTGCTCACCGCTTGAAATTTTATTGTGGGACATGCAGAATGCATCAGAAAAGCTTCCGTTTTTCCTCCCGAGCTGGACTGGAATGTACGTTGTTAACATTTTTGTGGTTTTGTGGTTTTTTGTGGTGGGTTTTGGGTTCGGTGGGTGGGCCAGCATGACTAATTTCATCAAGCAAGTCGACACATTTGGTCTTTTTGCGAGATGCTACCAATGCAAGGCCTCGCCCGCAAAGCACTAGGTACAAGCGGCCCTCTTTATTACACTTAACATCATGTATTCATGCAGTTATGTCAAGTTTCGACCAAATCAGATGAGGCCTTGTTGAGGCCTTGTTGTTTAAGGGGTGCGTTATTTTCGGGCTAATCGACTGATATTGTTTTGTTTTTCCGATCCGATCGATCGGTTAGTATATCCACTTGGACTTGCGTGTCGGGATGAATGATGATTGATGGAGTTCTTTTTCCTTGTGGCATTAGATGTAATGAAGAATTATAATGTGGTGCAATTATGTTGTATTTGGTGCATTGGTGAATGTTGAATGGCTTTGGTTTGATGTAGAGTTCATGTGGTCACATTTCTTGCTAAAAAGTAAAATCAACTCTATAGGGCTGTTATCGAACCGAACCGAACCGAGCTTAAGGTGTTCGAGCTCGAGTTCGATTAATTTTCGAACATGTTCGTGTTCGTTCGATTAGTAAACGAACAAAAAATTTTGTTCGTGTTCGTTCGTTTATTGGTTCGACACGTTCGTGTTCGTTCGTTTATCTAGTCGAACATGTTCATGAACTGTTCGAATTGTTCGACAAGTTCGTGTTTGAGTTTTTTAACTTTTTTTTTTTATTTTAATGTCATACAAGTTGTTTTATTTATTATTTAATATCTATTCATATTTATATGTTCTATTATATATGTATATACTATATATAATATATAAAATTATAAAATATTTGTTTTTTATTTAATATTTAATATATATTCATATTTATATATTATATTATACATGTATATACTATATATAATATATAAAATTATAAATATTTTTTTGTTCGCGAACGCTCGATTAGTTCGCGAACATGTTCGTGTTCGTTCGATAACTAAACGAGCGTAATTTTATGTTCGTGTTCGGTTCGATTGCTAAACAAACGAGCTGTTATCGAACACGAACGAACTCGAACGAGCTTTGTTCGCGAACGTTCGGTTTGAAAAACAGCCCTAATTGTGCCTACTGTTTTTTAGAGTAAAGACTTTGTTTTTATGGCCTCTCTTTCTTTTTAACATTTTCTCACTACCTGTGTTACTGTGTACTAGTATATATCCCGTGCGATGCACGGAAGAATTCATATTTTAAATATTTTTTAGACTTTATTTTAAATATAATTATTTACATTTTTCACTTCTCGTCTATTATGAAAATAAAATAAATACAATCAATGAAAAATATATATTATTAAATACTTTTCTTTATACAATATTTTTTATTTAAGAAATATTATTAAACCTTATGGTTTTGATTTATTTTTTTAAATCAATAATCCAAAATATATGATTGTTAACGTACAAAAAATAATGGAAATAATCCAGACTTTAAAGTAAATCTATTTTTTATTATTTTACAAATAAAAATCTTCCAAATTTTTTTAATTTAAAAAAAAAATGGCAAGTTTGATAATGAGTTAAATCAAGTTATACAAATGATTAAATAGTTAAAATGTTATATTAATTATATTTTAAGAAATCCGATTATATCAAAATGGGTAAAAAAATATTATACTAATTAGTTTGTTAGGATTGTGATTATATGGAAGTTAAAATAAAATGAAATGTGACCAAAAAATTTGTTCGTGGTCTTTCCTTTAAATGTTTGAATTTAAAAATTTAGTAACCAAATTTACATTATATCACGTAAGGAAAAAAATAAATAATAAATATTTATTAAAGAGATAAATCAATAATATTTATCACTTAGATAATAAATAATAAATATTTACATGTAAAAAAATAAATAATTATATATTTAAAAATATAAGTCAGAATTTCAAATAAAGTAAAAGGAGGGATAACTCATTTTTTAAAAAAGTTTCTAAATATTTAATATATTGATAAGTATCTCCATAAGAATAATCATACCATTTTAATTTTAAAAAAATTGGCAAGTTTGTTAGAGAGATAAATCCGGTTAGACAAATGATTAATTTGTTAAGATATTATATTAATTGTATCATAAAAAATTGGTTAGATAATGTAGATAAAAAAATATAATACTAATTAGTTTGTTAGAAATGTGATAATGAAAACCAAGATAAAATGAAATTTACCCAAAAAAATTGTTTGGAATCTTTTCCTTTAAATGTTTGAATCTACAAATTTAATACCGAAATTCTATTATATCACAAAAGGAAAAAATAAATAATAAACGTTTATTAATATATTAAAATATGTAATTTTGAATTTCATATAAAGTAAAAGGTATGCTTATTTAAATTTATTTTTAAAATAAAAGTTATGATAAACATTTATTGATTCTCTTTCAAATATATTAATAAAATAAAAATATAAATCTAAACAAATTTTGGAACAACCAAAAAAATCGGATTGATTGGCATAAAAAAAGGAAGTGAAATCGGATTTGAATGCTAAAATCGGAACACCTTACCAAATTGAATGTTAAAAGATTCGGTTTGATTGATTACCTAATTGCATGGGTTGAAAAAATTCAAAAAAAAATTTTACGAATTGAAGAAGCGGGAAAAACACTATATTGAAGCGGGAAAACGAAATAATTTTTTTCGAATTGTTCAAATAATTTTTCTTCTCCGTATTATATAGTAATAGATTACAGGAATGCTTATTAAAAAAATTATATTTAAATTTTTTTAAACAAAAAAACTGTTTTAAATTTAAATTCAACTCAGTAACATGTATTATAATTTAAAAAGAAAATATTGGGGGACAAGAAAATTTGAGGGAAAAAAAATTATTCTTTATAAACTACGTCATAATAGGAACGCTGTTAAAACACAATCAATACTCATAAAAAGAGTCATAAATATCTAATATATTTATTGATAATTCCAACACTAGTTATTTTTGGATTATAAGTAAATTAAAGTCTATCCAAGTCAAATGACTAATCATGAAATTTTTGTCACATAGGAATTCATAATGTGCGAGTCTGCTACTTAAATTCAGTATGTAAGGGGAATTGTTTGCTGATATAAATTATTGTTAATTGGAAAGTAATTGTGATGAGTGTAAAGAGTGTGTGATCATAAAAGGAGTTGGGAAGATTTTAATTAAACATTTCCTACCGTTTTTTTGCTAATAATTAACCTAATTTTGTTTTGCCCAACCAATTAATACACCTCTTCTCGTTTAGATCAACTATTTAGTACTTACGCCCTAAATTGTCATCGTCGGTCTAATTACTCAAGGTACCACCCCATCAGCACAACTTACAATCAAACAAAAGTTAAAAAGCAATTCAAGCATTTCGTTCTTTCAAAAAAATTCAAGCATTGCGTCCAATGAGGCGTCTCCACGTGGCAACTTACAATACTCCTATTCGCTCATGCATACAAAACGAGTTTCCACTCTCATGAATTCCTTCCACAGCAATCTGCCAGTAATCGGTTCTTTGCCCTCTCTTTCTCTCTCTACCCATTTCAAGCAAGCGATAAAGTAAGAAAGAAAATCAGATCTCGCTGTGCCCTTATCCTCTTTACATTATACCCCTGTTTACTGTGTGTTGTGGTGTGTATAGCAAGATGCCCAGGGGAAGAAGAAAGGTGCTTCCTTTTTTCCAGT